GTTCTTACCCACGAAAGCTTATGCTCCCAATACTTCTGTTAGTCTTAAAGGTGCCACAGGGCCCTCTGTTGCTTTAGATAAATATATTATTCAGCTAATATTTTACCAGATCCACTTATCTAGTACATCACATTTTCAAAGTGCTGCAATCTACACAACCACCTAAATCACTACCTTAGTTATCTAAGTTTTCCTCCACGGCTATCTAAACTAAGTGGGGGCAGGGATTGTTTGGATTGGTCAGTAATATAGTTTTAGCCATCTAAAATAGTTACGTCTATTATATTGATTCTTGAATCTGTTTTAGTTGCATAGTTTGCTATGAATTAGAAAATTCACCCTGCACTGCTTTTCTGCATTGTCACTACACAAGTCTGAGCTTGTGGAGACAGATGCCTCAGTATCCTGTACAGTGCTTCACTCTTCAGTCCCTTTGGTTATGCACAGTGCTACAAAGTAATCCATTTTGTGCCATGTTCCATGTTTGCATTCTTGGTTCAGCAGTTATTCTCACTATCTCACTATGGGTATTATCACACATCACTACCTGCTGCTTTTACCAAGTTCCACATGATTTGGCTTTGCATGTTTGTTTTGCTTATGAACTTTTCTTGGATAGCAGTATTTATGAGTGACCTCTTAAAGGTCTTTCAGAGCCCTTTGATCAGTTACCTGACTTTTTAATAATTTCAAAGTGATGTGCCATTTCTCTTGCAACTGTCAGTGTCATGTCAGATTTATAATTGCAGATTCTGTAATAATTCCTCATCGGAAATGCCAGTTAATCTTGTCACAAATCTATTCACTTTTCCCAGCGCAAAGATACTGTTTTTTTATTAACTCATGCCAGCTTCTAACAACTGCTTTGACAGATTCCCCAGGCTTCAGAAAGTACTAATAAAAACAAAACCTTTATGAATGAGGTTAGTCTTAAGTAACTAGGGCTCAATCCTGGGAGATATGTCCTATGTGAGAGGTGCTGTGTGCGCGTGATGTCCACTGAAATCAAGGAGAACTGAAGAGATTCAGCAGCTCTCAGCACCTCGCAGGATCAGATCATTATCAAATTTCTTTAGGACTATATTAAAGTCTTCCCTAAGAAGAAGATGGTGGCATTCATACCCTGATTCAGCAAAGCACTTAAGCATGTACTTAATTTTAAGCATGTGCTTAAGTCTGTGATGGGTTACACAAACCCCACACTGGAATGGAAGGGGTTAAAGGACTATACTGTGCCCAGCCAGCCCCACCCCTCCAACCCTGCAGAGCATGCTCCAACTGAGACAGGGTTGAAAAGGGAGCAAGTAGCCGTGATCAGAAGGAGGAGGGTGGGGACGAGTGCAGCCCTACCCTGAAAGGTTCCTGCCAAAAGGGGGCCGGAGAAGACTCCCTGAAGGAACAGAACTGTATGCGGAGCCCAGCTGCAGCTGGCAGTTTGGTTTCCTTTTCCTTTTCTCTTTATCTGTGATCAGAAGTGGAGGGAGAAAAGCAGTGGTAGGAAGTGACCCAGGGAAAGTAGCTCAGAGCCCACCGCTACCCCCAGGCCAAACACCGCTGACCCTCTGAGGGACCTGGATCAGAGCCTGGCGAAGTGGGCGGACCCGGGGTCCCCTATCACTGCCTCATAACCAAGTGGACACTAACTACTAGGCCCCTTGAGGACCCTATTACAAAGTCCATCCTTCTTTTGCAAAGCAGTTAAGCATATGCTTGAAGTTGTAGACCTTGGATAAACAATGCAAGGAGAAATAAGGAATTAGAGGTTAACAATGGACAAAGAATAAACTCATAAATGGCCTTGTAAATAACTAGGGTTGCCAACCCTCCCAGTTTCACCAGGAGTCTCCCAGAATCGGACTCTATCTCCCAGAGGCTACTGAAGCCAAACCAGGAGATTTTAGGCAGCTAAAAGTTTGTCGGTGCAGCCGGGCTAAGGCAGGCAGGAAGCCTGCCTTAGCCCCGCTGCGCCGCCGACTGGGAGCCACCCGAGATAAGTGCTGCCTGGCCAGAGCCCGCACCCCTGACCCCTCCCGCACCCCAACCCCCTGCCCAAGCGCTGAGCCCTCTCCAGCACCCAAACTCCCTTCCAGAGCTTACACCCTGCACCCCCTCCTACACTCCAACCCCTGCCCCAGGCTCAGCCTGGAGCCCTCTCCCACACTCCGAACCCCTTGGCCTGAGCCCAGAGCCCGCACATCCTCCCACACCCCAACCCCCTGCCCCAGCCCAGTGAAAGTGAATGAGGGTGGGGGAGAGCGAGTGATGGAGGGAGGGGGGATGGAGTGAGCGGGGCAGGGTCTTGGAGAAAGGGCAGGGCAGGGCCTTGGGGAAGGGGTGGGGCAGGGGGCGGGGCAAGGTGTTTGGGTTTGTGGGATTAAACAGTTGTCAACCGTATAAATAACATGTAATTAATAGATAATGAAATAGTAAGAAGAGTGATGTGTGATAAGCTTGCTGGAGCTTTGCTTATTAACATACTTTGCAGCTCGTGGACAGTTCATTATCTGTATAGAGTTTGATTATAAAAATTAGTACACCAATCATAAATAGTATTAAGTGTGTACATAAGCTGATTCATGATTGTGTATATTGAATGTGTGGTATACCCTGTGCTCATCCCCTACACTTGAGCCTGATCAACTGAAGTGTAGTTTGATTGTATGCCAATAAACTTCATTGATGAGTTTGGAGATCAACTGATTCATTGGATTCCAAAGAACTGGACAGAGTGTTCTCCCTTGAACTGGATGAGCTGTTCTGGATAAACCAACTGAAAAAGGTCTCGGAGGGAATCCTAACAGAAGTTTTGTGTATTTAAATGGTCTGCTAAATTGGGGCCTCAGCACTTTATAGGATTGGACCTGCAATTTGGTGCCCATTCTCCAAAGACTCTTAAGCAAAGTTAGCTGTTGGGTTGGAAAGGTTCTCTCATGGATCAGTAACTGGTTAAAAGATAGGAAACAAAGGGTAGGAATAAATGGTCAGTTTTCACAATGGAGAGTGGCAAATAGCATGGTTCCCCCAGGATCTGTAACTGGCACCAACGCTATTCAACATATTCATAAATGATCTGGAAAAAGGGCTAAACAGTGAGATGGCAAAGTTTGTAGATGATACAAAATTATTGAAGATAGTTACATCCAAAGCTGATTATGAAGAGTTACAAAGCGATCTCACAAAAGTGGGTAACTGGGCAACAAAATGATAGATGAAATTCAGTGATGATAAATGCAAAGTAATGCACATTGGAAAAC